CATCATCATCCATCATCCATCCATCATCCATCCATCATCCATCCATCCATCATCCATCCATCATCTATCCATCCATCATCCATCCATCCATCATCCATCCATCCATCTATTCTATGTATTCCATCCATCCATCCATCATCCATCCATCATCCATCCATCATCCATCCATCCATCCATCCATCCATCATCCATCCATCCATCCATCCATCCATCCTCCATCCATCATCCATCCATCATCCATCCATCATCCATCCATCCATCCATCATCCATGCCCATCCCTGGAGGTGTCCCAGGAACTCCTGGAGGTGGCACTCAGGGCTCTGGGCTGGGCACAGCTGGGACTGGATGGGCTGGGAGGGATTTTCCAACGCCATGGATTCAGTGATTCCAGGCTGAAGCATCACCACAGGGACATAATTAAGGAAAATCCTAATTATCCTTATGAGCCATCCAGCAGCTGGGCACTGTCCTGCCCACACCATGCTCAATTCCCCTTGAGCAGTGCTTCACCCCGGAGCTCTGAGGGAGCTGCTGCTCTGACAACCCCAAACTGCTCCTATTGAGATCCTCTCCTGCAGGAGCTGTCACTGGGGCAGGGATGGGACCAGAAGGTGTTTCCAGATGTGACACCAGAGAAAAGGAGGCTCAGGGCGCCCTTGTGGCTCTGCCAGGAGGGGACAGCCGGGGATTGGGGCTGTGCTCCAGGACAGGAGGAGAGGGAACAGCCTCAGGCTGGGCCAGGGCTTTCCATGAAGGAATTGTCCCAAAATCCCCAGCTCAGGGGAGATTTTGAGGAAATTCCTTCATGGAAAGGATGCTCAGGCACTGGAACTCCCAGGGCAGGTTTAGGGGGGGGCACTGAGGACAATTCCCTCATGGAAAGGGTTTGCAGTTATGGCAGTGGGCTGCCCAGGGCAGGGTGCAGTCCTTCTTCCTGAAGGGATTTCACAGCCCTGTGGATGTGGCACCTGGGGACATGGGGCAGTGGTGGCCTGGGCAGGGCTGGGAATGGTTGGACTCTGCAAACATTCCATGGTTCCATGGATGGGAGGTTGTTTGGAGCCTCCTGAAACCATCTGTGGTGGTTTGAGCGCTCAAACCATGACACCATCCTTTTCCTTGTGACTGTCAGAAAGCCCAAACAAACCCATTTCTGTCTCAGGGGTGGGTGTGGAGAGGATGGGGCTGGGCTGCTCAGTGACAGGAGAAGGAACAACGAGCACAAAGTGAAACACAGGAAATTCCAGCTGGATATGAGGAAAAACTTCAACTTTGAGAATGGTGGGGCACTGAACAAGCTCCCAGAGCAGCTGGGGCTGCCCCTGCATCCCTGGCAGTGCCACATCCATGGTGAATACCCAGGGCTGTGCATGTGTCCTTTTCTCTGCTTTTTAAAGCAGAGAAATTATTTTGATTCTTATAATGATTATTTTTCCTCCTGCCTGGATTTCCAACATCCACAACAGCAGGATTCAATCCCTCCCTTTCCATTTCTGATCCCTGCAGGATCCTGAAGGACATTCAGGACAAGACAAGTCAATATTGACTTTGACTCCCATCTTCAAAGTTCCATCTTTTCCACAACAGCTGCACAAAGTGAGTTTGGAGCTCATGGAATTGGAGTCCCTCAGGAATGTTTGGATTAGCAGGATTGGGAATGCACTGCTGAAGGTGAGGTTTAAAATTGATTTGTTCATCCAGCTGTGTTCAGATCCCACCCTCCCCTTCCTGGGCAGGCCTGACACATTCCCAAGTGGTTTTTACACCACTACAACTGAGTGATCCTTGGGTTGGTTGTTTCCAAGGGGCACAAAGGAAAATAAAGGAATTCTGGAGATAGAAAACCACAGAGCTGGAAGGATCATCTGGCCAAATGTCCTGAGGGAAAAGGAGCTGGGATGTTTCACATCCTGAAACATTCCAGGGACTCCAGCACCTCCCAGGGGATGTGGGTCCCAGGGAATGCTGGTTCTCACTGGAAAATGTCCTTTTTCCATTGGGATGACCCCGCCCAGCACACCCTGTCCCACTGCTCCATGTCCTCTTTATCCATCCCTGAGGGCCTGGAAACTCCAGAGGTTCCATCTAAGGAAACAAACCTGGGAACCCTGCAGGAGAACTGGGAGCTCAGGAACAATTCAGGCTGGAGGAAATGGAGTGAGGGGGAAAATTCCTCTCTCAGGGGTTATGTAAGGGCTCTATAAATAGGATCTCACAGGTGTCAAACTCCAAAACTCCGGGGTTTTGGGGGCTGGCAGGCAGTTTGGGGTGGGTTCAGGCTGGTTTGGGTGTCCAGGTGAGCTGCAGGGAGGGAGAGGATCCATGCAGGATCAGGAGGGGGCAATTCCCAACATCCCAACCCAGCTGGGCAGAGCAGCAGGGCCTGGGGTGCCTAAAAAGGATTTCCAGGCCAGGAGGGAGATGGGGCTGAGCATCTGCCCAGAAATAGAAGGTGTGGAACCACCCCCAGCAAACCCCCAGTGCTGAGTCAGAGCCTCGAGTGAGGGAAATGGATTTGGGGGGAAAATACAGGGCAGGTTTAGGGATGGGAAGGTGGATGGAAAGGCCCTTCCCTGGTGCTGCCACCCCTGAGGGGCTTCTTGTCCCACATGGGAGAGGCAGCAAAGGATTCCTGGCCCTGGGANTTTGGGTTTTGAAGGTTTTTATACTACCAACCACTCCTTAAATCAGTTTTTTCATCTTCATTTGGAACTTTGAGTTTTGACTATGACCCACTCCTTAAATCACTTCCTCATTTTCATTTAGATCTTTGGGTTTTGAAGGTTTTGACTACAAATCCCTTCTTAAATCACATTTTAAATTTGCATGTAGAGTTTAGGGTTTTGAAGGTTTCGACCATGACCCACCTCTTAAATCACTTTTTTATTTAGAGTTTTGTGTTTTGAAGGTTTTTGACTATGAACCCCTCCTTAAATCACTTTATTTTCATTTAGAGTTTTGTGCTTTAAGGGCTTTGACTATGAACCACTCCTTAAGTCACTTTTTTCATCTTCATTTAGAAATTTGGGGTTTGAAGGTGTTGACTGTGACCCACTCCTTAAATCACATTTAATTTTTATTTAGAGTTTTGTGTTTTAAGGGCTTTGACTACCAACTACTCCTTAAATAATTTTTTTCATTTTAATTAGAGTTTTGGGTTTTGAAGGTTTTGATTATCAACCACTCCTTAAATTACTTTTTCCATCTCCATTTAGAACTTTGGGTTCTGAAGGTTTTGACTATGAACCACTCCTTAAATCACTTTCTTCATCTTCATTTAGAACTCTGGGTTTTGACTATGACACACTCCTTAAATCCCTTCCTCATTTTCATTTAGATCTTTGACTTTTGAAGGTTTTGACTACAAATCCCTTCTTAAATCACATTTTAAATTTGCATGTAGAGTTTAGGGTTCTGAAGGTTTTGACCATGACCCACCCCTTAAATCACTTTTTTATTTAGAGTTTTGTGTTTTGAAGGTTTTTGACTATGAACCACTCCTTAAATCACTTTATTTTCATTTAGAGTTTTGTGCTTTAAGGACTTTGACTATCAACCACTCCTTAAATCACTTTTTTATTTTCATTTAAAGCTTTGGGTTTTGAAGATTTTTGACTACTACTTTTTCATCTTCATTTAGAAATTTGGGGTTTGAAGGTGTTGACTATGACCCACTCCTTAAATCACATTTAATTTTTATTTAGAGTTTTGTGTTTTAAGGGCTTTGACTATCAACCACTCCTTAAATCACTTTTTTATTTTTATTTAGAATTTTGGGTTTTGAAGGTTTTTATACTACCAACCACTCCTTAAATTACTTATTCCATCTTCATTTAGAACTTTGGGTTCTGAAGGTTTTGACTATGAACCACTCCTTAAATCACTTTTTTATTTTTATTTAGAATTTTGGGTTTTGAAGGTTTTGACTACCAACTACTCCTTAAATCACTTTTTAATTTTTATTTAGAATTTTGTGTTTTGAAGGTTTTGACTACCAACCACTCCTTAAATCACTTTCTTCATCTTCATTTAGAACTTTGGGTTTTGACTATGACCCAATCCTTAAACCCCTTCCTCATTTTCATTTAGATCTTTGAGTTTTGAAGGTTTTTGACTACAAACCCCTCCTTAAATCACACATTTCTCATTCAGCTGCACCAGCCATTAACAAACAAATTCTCCCCTTTCTAACTTGCAGAAAACCTCCTTTCCTTCGAAATCTCCCCGAACCAAAGCTGCTTCATTTCTTTATGAAGCACACCTGCTTTCCCTGGTGCTCTCCCCCTTTGGGGCAGCTCTGGGGGGGCACAGGGAGGGTTTTGGGGGGTCCCTGTGCCGTTACCTGGCCGTAGATGCGGTTGGGTTTCTTGCCACGGCAGCTGAGCAGAGCCCACCGCTTGTACTTGACGTTGCACACGTGCACGTCGTTGCCGTTGCTCTCTCCAAAGGGGATCCCGGTGCCCCCAAACACCAGCAGGTTGTTGCCATGTAAAACAACTGGGGGGGAAAAGGGAAAACAGGGGGGCTCAGTGCTGGGAGA